AACCGTATATCTATTTTTCTACAAGAAAGCATTCAAGTAATTAATTTGTCACTCCACAAGAAATTAAAAGATAAAGAACCAACAATCACAATCAAATACCATAACTTCTACAAAAAAAAATCAAAAACCAACAATCACAATCAAATACCTTAACTTCCTGGTAGAGTTTATTCTCGCAGGCATACAACCTCTCAATTGTCGAACAATGACTCGCAGCGCTCCATCTCGCACTGCCCGATCCCCAATTCCACAGCAACGCACTCGAACCCCAACCCAAAATCCTAACCTGCACCAATTAAAATCTCAAATCCTAACCAAATCCCAATGTTTAAAAAAAAATCAAAATTTTGAAAAAAATCCACAAAATTTAGAGTTCATTAGAATCAAATATTCTGTAAAAAAAAATCTCACCAAACTTCCCGCTGGAGAGAGAGACGAACGGCGAATCGAGAGAGAAGAGAGAGGCGACGAAAAGAGAGAGAGAGAGAGAGAGAGGGAGACGAACGACGACGGAAAAAAAAAAAAGAGACAGAAAGAGACGAAGGCGATTTCGCAGAGAGAGATAGAGAGAGAGAGAGACCGACGATTTCTAATTTTTTATGATTTTGAAGCAAAATAAATGAACAATAATAATATTAGTATTTATATGGGGAGTTGAGAGGAAAGAGAAATATCTATTAGGGAGTGGAGAGGAAAATGAAAAATATTGGGGACTGACAAGGAAGATGAACTGTGAATTGGGGATTTAAGAAGAATTATCCGTATTTCTTATTATTTTCAAAAAAGTTAAAACACATGTAACTTTATTGAGTAAAACACTTTCAAATCATTACTCTTTCTGATTTTCAAATGGTTCAAATATATACTGATGGTTAAGGATTAAATATAAGTAGAATATGAATTGAAAAAAAAAAAAATGATAATTGACTAGTGGTAATATAATGAAATTTATAATTATATTATCCTTTCAATTACACTATGTGGATCAATAATAGTGGCTAGGCTGGCTCTCTCTGTGTAGATAAGATATTCTTGGGCTTGATCAAATATTCGAGTGTCCATACGGACCATAACAATAATACGGGCCCAATACAAATACCGAAAACATTTTCAAAAAACAGACCATCAGAAACCATATTTCTCAAGGCTAATTTACATATTAGCACGTTTCGGGATCTCATGGGACAATAATTTTAGTTTTGTTGTTTGCGTTGAATAAATTTTAATTTATTTTCAATCTAAAAAAAGTACCTAGGTTTGGAATATACATAAATATACTGAATATCCTATGTGGCATAATTATGTTATATGGTACAATTTTTTTTTTCAATTTTTTTTATAATATTTCTTTTAAAAATCAAAACAAATACTAACTTAAACTATAAAATATATTTAAAAGTTAATAATTTGTCTATTTTTATTAAATATTTTTATATATACAATATATCAAATTAATCGTGTCTTTATGAGCTTCGATTTGACATGTATTTTATACATACAAAATAGATAAATAATTTTATATATCTTTATAAAATTAAATTAACTATTGATATTAATTAAAAAAATAAAATTATTTAAACTACAAAGTAGTTATCTTATATAAATTCAAACAAAAAATGTAATATAAGATGGTAAGTCGTTTAAGTGTGTCACTTTAATATAAATAATAATACATTTTTAAAAAAAAAAGTATTTAAAAACTAAAATAATTTTTTTGTTATTATTATAAATATAATTATTTTACCAAGTACTAGTGTAGTACACGGATAATGTACTAGTAGATTATTATAAATATAATTATTTTACCAAGTACTAGTAGATTACTACTTTAAAATTTTTTTGCAAATATATGAACCTTTTAAAAAAAGTACTTTTACATATTTTATTGTAAATTTATGACATATTTCATTTTTAATTATATGTTTAGTTTACAGTTTATAACATGTTTATATTATCAGATCTCATAACATGGCTAAAAAAGATTATGTTTAAAAAATTTTGTTAACATATCAAGCATAAACTATTAATAAATGTCAAATAAACATTGAAATCTTCGACAACATAAATTAATCTAAACATGTAAAAAAAAATTCCCAAAGCCTAAGACATCATTAACCATATATATAGTGAATCGGACGCCCAGATTACAGTTCTCGAACGGTCGCGCCGTCCACCTCAATCCGCCGACTGCAGAGAAACATCGTGCATCCTCAGGCAAGCAAACCCAATCACCACTCCAACCAAAAATACACACTAAGAGATATCACCAAATCTTTGTCCACCCCTTCAGACATTTTTTTCACACATAAAGACCTACTGTTACAAACCTAACATTGAAAGCCGGGACTTGGCGCATTCTCTCAGGTGCCAAGGGTTGAGAGGTGGGTGGACTTGTGTACACGGTGTCGAATAAGGGAAGGATGTAGAGTTGGGGCATCCTTGAGTTGGACTTGGGCTTCAGTCGAACATTCCGGTGAGCAACGAACACTTGTGCAACACTCAACATTTTAATGTCCAGTGGCTAGATTCCAGAAATGGTATTTTTTCCCTTTTTCGAGAATGTAGTGTTCTCTAAAGGGTTGGGGTCAGATCATGTGAGTTGCACGTGAGGGAGTCTTGGGTCAAGTTTGGATCCCAACCAATTTTCCTAGTCGAATTGTGGGTGTCCCATCGAATAATACTCGATTATGGGACGGGTAAAAGTCGAGGGCTCTGCCGGATAAGGGGTTGTCGTGGGACTGTGCATGGCCTTGCGGACGCATGTGGGCTGACTCGAAGAATGTTATAATGTGCGAGGTGGTGCGCAAATTTTTGTGGGATTAGTTGATGGCCAAGACGTAAGGCGTGCAATTTCTTGCGTATCTGTGGGCTCAAATGTCGGGCATAAGTTGTTTAAAGGTCCAGAAGGCCTCGGACGATGCGTTTCGATGGACGTGTGCTAGTTTTGGCGCGGCGTCTAAGGCATTGGCAAGAACGGTAGGGATTTTGAATGAAGCACGAGGGTTGAACGGTAGGGCCACAATTTTTTGCTTGGCCATTGAAGATTTTTCAGCAATTAGAAGAGGGTTTTTGTGTGTTTGGGGAGACATACTTTTTTTATTTCTTGTGAAGAAGATACACAGGAGCCGAGGATACAGAGAGAGAGAAACAATTTTTTTTCTTGTTTTACTATTGCGTATGGAAGGAAGGCGATTATCACTCTCCATGAGAATCAAACATAAAATATACCCACCATTAATTGTGCGTAGTAGTGGGTAGTTGTTTCCTTTACAAAAACAACTGAACTTCATTTAATTAATTAATAATTTCGTGTTTACGATTAAAACTTACCGCTTTCGTATTATAATATTATTTAACAAAGCATTAGTAGGTGGGTAAATTTATCCCGTCCCAAACCGCATATCGGGCTTGCTCGAAACACTTATATTTAACCCGTTTAATGTCACTGATTATCTTTCTTTCAAATACAGGTGTTTTTCGTGTTTTCATAAAGAAGTTGCCTATTTGTGCTAACTATTGGCTTCGCCGCGGGTAAAATGCCGATGGTAATCACCAAATCACTACTCAGTACTCGTCTCGAGTTACAGCTCAATCAGCAAACCATATCAAAAACAAAAGAGAGATAGAGAGATAATAAAGAAAAACCAAGATTCTCCATTTCAAAATAAGATATAAAAAGAGCATAAAATGAGATTAATGAAACTATATTTTTAGATGGAATTTTTGTGTATAAATTGATTAATATCTTGTAAAACTTTGTTGGCCATTTCAGAGAAAGGTTGAATGTAGAGAAAACCGTGCTCCTGCCCTTCATACTCAACGTACTCGATTTCTTTGCCCATATCTTTCAATCTTTTGTAGTAGTCTTCAATTCTGTCCTTCATCACTTCACACCCGCCCACTAGCACAAGCATTGGGTCAAGTTCCACGGACTCCAGATTTGGGCTTGACGGCCCAAATGGGTTGGCCGATGGATGGTCTGCTGTGCTCCCAATCGGCAGCGATAGCCTCCAAAATCTGAAGTTTCTTATTCAGGCCCAATTTTACAACGGAAGCCCAGGTTAGACAAGTAATTAGGATATAAATTTGACTTTCCATGAATTCTTGTATTTTCTTTTGTTCTTTTTTTTTTTTAATCTAAAATAAAATTGCACATGCACTTTAAACTAGTACGTAACCCGTGTGATGCACGGGACATAAGTATTAAATGAGTCATTTTCACAAAGCTTATCCGTTAAGAAGCTCGTGCGATTCACGGGAGATATTAAATGAGTGGACCATCGGGCTTGTCCGTTCAGGCCTAAAAAATGATAGAGTTTGATCATCTATTTTTTTACCTCTTTTCATCAACTTCATTTTTTTTTTCAGGACATTAAACCTGAGTCTGGTAGCGCTATCAACCCGAATCTTCTTTTTCGTGGTGGATTATCTAGCTAACATGGTTATAATATAAATTTGATTTCATTATATATATATTTATTCATTGATATAAGAAAAATAACAATTTTATGTAATTTTGTTCCTCGTATAATACTCATACTATTTTATTATAACACTTATTGTAATATAATGTCATTATTATTATTTATACATGTTACTGATGTGGTCTTCTTCTTCTTTTTATTTTATGTAATTAAAATTATTAATGTATGTTAATATTATTTATTAATGTAATTAAAATTATGTAAATAAATTTAAAGTAAAACCTTTTTTACAAACATATTACAAGATATATACAAATGTTTTTTTTAGAATTTATTTTTTTATAATAAATAAACATCTTTGAAATTCTACGTATTTATTAAAATCCTTGATATAAATTCGAAATCATACTTTGAATTCTATGCAATTACTAATTCCGTCCGATGTTATGGGAAACAAATCATCAAGAATTGTAACAAAATGATAAGGAATTTTAAAATTTAAATTTTAAATGAGACATAGTTTTACTTGAATTCTATGCAATTATTATTTTGTCTGATTTTATGGCAAACAATTCATTCAGGATTTTAATGTAACAAAATGATAAGAAAATTTAATATTTAAATTTAAATTTGAAATGAGACATGTTTTTACTTGAAGTCTATTTTGTCCGATTTTATTGCGAAACACTTCAATTAAGGATGTAATTAATGCAGATCGATTTTTTAGCTATAAAATAATAACGCAATTGAAAGAATGATAAAAATAGAATACATTAATTATCTTTTGACTTTTCTTGTTCTAAATTTAGTAAATAGGATGGCTTTTATATATATATAGATATAGATATAGATAGATTAGAAGTACTAAAAACTTTAATTTTAACTATGCAATAAATATTACTGATATTTCAATAAAGATTCAAGTATAAAAATTGATTATTAGTGATATGTAAGGTTTTCAACTAAAAGTGTTACATGTAATTATGAGTAGTGTATATATGTAAAAACTTGATTATTAAAAATGCATTACTTGTAATTTATTTATTTATTAATTTATTTGAATCATGTTTTTTAAAATTGTTTGTTAGTATCATGTATGAGTTTAATTAGGTAAATTATTGTTCAATTAACACGTAGGAAAAAAAAAAAAAATATCAATAAAAATAATAAGAAAAATAAATTTCCAACTTAATTACCTATCCAGCGTCTCCAGATTAAGTAGCTTTTCCGGCCGCCCCTCGGCTTCCGACTTTGTCCTCGCTGTCCCGCCGAAAAACGGCGCCATCAGCACGTACCCCCTCACCCGCAACGGCTCCATCCCCGGAGATCCCCGCCGGAGCTCCACCGCCAGCTGGCGTGCCAGGTTCCCGCCGGAGGAGTCCCCAACCACGAACACCCTCCCGAAGTCCACCTCCCCCCGTCTCAGCCACCCGCCTCCGCTGCCATCGGCCCCCAGCGCCTGCTCCCTCAGCCACACCACGGACCTCCGGGCGTCCTCCACGGCGGCCGGAAGTCTGTTCTCCGGCGCGAGGCGGTAGTCCGGAGACACCACCACCGCCCCCAGCCCCGACGCCAGCCGGAGGCAGCTGATGTGGGCGTCCGGCCACGTCCGGTCGCCGAGGCAGAACCCGCCGCCACGGAAGAATAAGAGGACGGGAAGGGGGACGGGCAGCGGCGAGCGGGGCTTGTAGATGCGGAGGCGGAGGCCGTGCTCTTCGTCGTACGGGAGGTCCGTCCAGACGACGGTGCCGTCGTCCTGGACCTCAATGGAAAAGTTCATATTTTCGCGTCGCCGGAAAATGGAGCCGTCGCTGAAGAGCTGGAGGAGGCCCGCGCAATCTTCCACCACATGAGGAAGAGAGTCCATTGCTTTCTCTCTCTTTCTCAGAATATCTTGTTTTCTCTCTCTACAAATGTTGGGAGTGATTTGGAGTTTTGGACAACGGAAACAAAATGTAACTATATAAATAGGCTGTGGTGGATAAGTGACGACGAAATATTGGCAATTACAAGATTAGTTTAAAAGAGACAAAAAAAAAAAAAAAAAAATGCCATTGGTGTCTTCCCATGTCACGGGCGCACTTTGGCAAAGTGAAATTTTAATTTCATTTGACTTTAGATGTTAATTTGGTTGATCTTTCGAGGGTCATGTGTTTTGTCACGTCATGAAAACTTTGGTAATAAGGCAAATTCGACTATAACCGTTGATAAATAGTATCTAACATAAAAAGAATCTCGACCGGCTCGATTCGACTTGATCTGCTCTCTTTTCCAGTGCCTTTTGAGGCCTATAAATACTCGACACCGGAGAAGTTTTTCAGTGAAGAGTCTCGAATACTTAAATTAGTGAGATGTATGAGACAGTATGTGTTGGGAATTTCGACCACACCGAAACTCCGCCCAAGATCCGCTAGAAATAATAAAACTGGAGAACATAAAGTTTAACGTGGAAAACCCTCTGTTAACGAGAGGAAAAAACCACCAGGGCAACAAGGCCGTAGAAAATCCACTATGTAAAAATTACACAATTTTTCTACACTCACTTATACCCAAAATTACCCCACAGAATTTTCTATCTGTTAACCTTAACTCTCACCCTAAGGGATTTTTAACCAGAGATTAATTGTTAACACAACAACTCTGTGGGATGATTTTACATAAGAAGTAGCACCTTCTTATATAGGGGAAAAATCCCCTCCTCTTACATCCCACTTTCGATGTGGGACAAAAGAGCAAAAAACTCAACAAACTCCACCTTGCGATTTTGGCCCACTGACAGCCACTATTCGCTTTGATGAAATTTTTCATAGCTTTCGCTATCATGCTCCACCATAAAAGCATATCCACTCGGACTCGCATCCAAGCATTTCTTCGGCCCATGTCGAAATAACCTTGCTGAAATCTATGGTGCAACTTCCACGTTTGACATTCCTAGAAGTTCATCAGCCCTCGACACGCTTTTTCCACCACACACCTTGCATCACCGCCAAACCAATGCCCGTGTGTAAACTGTGGACTCGCTATTTGTAACATGTCCTCTTTCATGACACTTAGCGACATGCCATAAGGACTCCCCTTTCTCTCTTAGCAAAACTCATCCATGGAGAGAGAGACAAAATTAGCTTCTTCGGTATCTCCACTTACCGACTTGGAGCTTTTTGCCGAACCTGCTCCTCCTTTCGGACAATTTCTTTTCACGTGCCCAGATTGTCCACACGTCCAGCAAATCACAACTTGCTTCTTGTTGGAGTTCCTCTTCTTTCCGTCACCGACGAGCATGACTTGACCTTCCTGTGAATTGTTTCGTCCACCATCTAGCCTTCTCTCTTCCACAAGAAGTTTACCAGTGACTTCAGAAAATACAATTTTCTCCTTCCCATGAATCAAGATCGGCTTCATGTGTTCATAAGAAGTTGGAAGAGACCAGATGAGTCTCAACGCCTGATCCTCATCATCAATCTTCACTCCAATGGATTCCAGCTCCGAGACGATCCCATTGAGAACGCTTAAGTGGTCTGAGATGCTTTGACCTTCAGTCATTCGCAGTGTGTGAAACTGCTCCTTCAGATACACCCGATTTGAGACGCCTTTAGCCTGATACAACTCCTCAAGCTTGTCCCATAATGCTTTTGTCGTCGAAATTCCATGCACATTAGCAAGAACAATCTTGGCCAGACACAGTCGTATCGCGCTTGCCGCTCTCAAATCCAGTTCCTCCCAATCTTCATCGCTCATTCCAGATTTGCTCACACCAGCTTTTTCTTCAGTGCTGCTGGTAGCACTGCCTTTGGGAATTTTCGAGCCCTTCAAAGCTTTGTGTAACCCCGACTGAATCAGCACGTCCTTCACTTGCACTTGACACAAGCCAAAATTGATTTTTCCGTGGAATTTCTCCACATCAAATCTCGCCAGATTCGATATCTTATTTCCAGACATCTTCATGAATCAGTGAACACTAACTTCGTAGAAAACCGAGCAGCAACCTTTAATAGTACTGATCAGATAAATTCTCAGGGAGGGTAGCGATCTGCCCCCTAAAGAATTACCCTTCTAAGTAAGCTCCCAGGAAAGGCTGGTGGGGTCACAACGGTCCCACTTAAAAAACCAGTCTCCTAGACAGAACCTACTTACACAATAATTATTCCCCACTGCCCAAAAAACTCCTCTGCACACAAGCTCCACCCGTCACTGGCTCCACCGCACGAAGAGACCTCTTTGGTATCTTTTCTGATGTGGAAGATCAGACAAAACTGCAACCACAGAGCATACTCAGAATACCAACTAGGCTAACCTCGCTCTTGATACCACTTGTTGGGAGTTCCGACCACACCGAAACTCCGCCCAAGATCCGCTAAAAATAATAAAACTGGAGAACACAAAGTTTAACGTGGAAAACCCTCTGTTAACGAAGAGGGAAAAACCACCAGGGAAACAAGGCAGTAGAAAATCCACTATGTAAAAATTACACAATTTTTCTACACTCACTTATACCCAAAATTACCCCACAGAATTTTTTATCCGTTAACCTTAACTCTCACCCTAAGGGATTTTTAACCAGAGATTAATTGTTAACACAACAATTCTGTGGGATGATTTTACATAAGAAGTAGCACCTTCTTATATAGGGGAAAAATCCCCTCCTCTCTCATCCCACTTTCGATGTGGGACAAAAGAGCAAAAAACTCAACAGTATGTAAGTGTACAGAGAGTGTAATTTTCTAAAGGGTAATACTTCACTCCCTTTTATCGAGAGATGTTACCTTGTTGCTCAAGACTGCCTGAGAGAGTTGTTCGGCTTCCTGAACCACCCGTCCATACTTCTCGAGCTGCACAATTTTGTTAGGTCACGTGGCCTTATCCACATGTGGTCCTTATCTTCATTTTTATCCATTAGTTTGCCTTGTTAGACTGTCTAATCGTGTGGTTGGCCCGAATCACCTCGAGGTAGAATGATGTGTAAGTTGAGCTCATGTATCGTTTTTTTGGTCGATCGTATGACCATTCATACTTTCAGGTCGAGTTTTCATCAGGTCGTCTAAGGGCACCTATCCATGTCTCTTTGAACCTCTAAGGTCCTCGATGTAAGGACTTCTTATTCTATAATAACGTTTGACCTCCGCTCGGCCTACCTGTGTTATGTTCGACCAACCGGTTCGCTCAGCCTGACTAGCTGGTTTATCAGGTTTGTTCTACCCGATGTAGTATCTTATATCATCTGGTCTCCCACGTTCTCGAGTTAAGATAACTCGATCTAAGAGTAGATTTTTATCTGACTTTGATCAGTGAGTTTCAACCCTTATTTTTCAATATGGATGCTTCAATATCTTTCTATTATGCAACATAATCTTCGACCTCCCCTTGTGGTCTTGAGTTCAAATTTCAAAATCCAAACCTTTGTCTCTTGTCAGATTCAACTAGTCGTATCGCTTGGTTTAGGTCATTGCTCCGCAATTCAGACTGCCCTCGTACAACATACCCATTAAATGATCCTTTAATGATGAGGACCCTTCGATCTACCTTTAATCTAACTGGTTGGAAACTACTGTCTTTTCAACTTATCTGCTTGATCTTAGCCATTGACTTTGGCTATGATCCAACGACTCCGTGCGACCTGTCTTTTCAACTTCGCTCGCCTTTAATCTTGACTGTTGATTTCGGTTACAATCCAACAGCAGTGCTCGAACCACCTTTCCAGCTCACCAATTTGATCTTGACCGTTGATATCGACTTTGATCTAACGGCCAAGGTCGATTGACCTAAAAGTTCTTTCGCCTACGAATAACCCTTTTCCTAAAATATTTTAATTTTCCACATTTGCGAATTTTGCCTTAGCTTACATGTTCTCTTCTTTTTACTTCTGCAATAAACTCCCTAGCTTCGTCGCGTCTCGTAGTGTTCCACCGCAGTCCACCATTTTTCTGCAATTCTTCCAAGCAACTGACAGACTCTAATAATGAGTAAGTGTCTTGTATTATTTCTCTTGTTAATTTTGCATGCTTGATTTTATTTTCCTTCTCTGTTTCACCTTCCTCGAATTCGTCGACTGTGGTGTTCTTCTTTCTCCTTCTATTCTTCTCCGCGAAAAACCTAATTTTTCCCTTTTTTCTCATTCAAATTCTGCCACTTCCAGTGAGGCCGACGGATTCTCCGGAAAAGATATGACTTCTCCCTCGTCCTCTTCGACCTCACGGCCTCATTCACTCCTTCTGCTACCCTCTCCGGCCTCACCTAACCAGTCTTATCTCCCTGCCTGACGCCCTCGTCGACCTCTCAAATTGATTGAAGAAATTAAGGAATATGATGAATTAGTGTTGCATTATATCCCTCTCTCATTCGCTTCTCCACTTTGGGCCATTCCTTTGACCTTCTAGGTCGGATCGTCCTTCCGCCATCGACCTCTTCCTATGACTTGGAATTATGCGACTATTGAGAAGATCGAGGTGGATCACCCCCTCGAACTAATTCCACGATTCAACTTGCTTCAATTTGCCCATTGAGTGACATTATCTAGGCCAATCCTGCATGGGTTGAGGAATTCTTCGACATCAGTCGACCTACGCGTTGGGAGTACTTCATTCTCCATACTTCGGACGTGTATGATCACCCGCCTCCTGAGTGTTATACTATTTTCCAAAACCAGGTCGAGTTGGGTCTCAGGTTTCCCATTCGCCAACCCCTCCTCGACTTGTGTGCCATTTTTGACCTGTCTCTTAACCAACTTCCCCCCCAGTTTCATTCGTTATCTTAACTTTTTTGTGTTTTTTCATTCATTAGGCTATGTCACATTGACCTAGGATATTTCCTTTATTGTCTTATAACTAAAGACCAGAAGGAGGGGTCCTACCTCCAAGGTCGGAATAAAACCAA